AGAAGTGGATTATCTAGAAACAGTTTATGCAATTATGAAAACCGCTTAAAAGCTCGTCAAATATATGAATTGGCCTCTAGATCAATTTGGCATATAGATCTGGCAACATTATTTTTGTTTTTAGGTTTTGTCCGATCGGTTTTAAACTCATTTTCAAAGAGAATTTTAGAGAATTTTTTTGATAGGTTCCCGCTAGTATATATGTATATATATATATATTTTTATGTAAATATAGTCTTTAAAATATATATTCTTTTATTAGATATATTTCATTATTTTTATGTTAAAATATACTCTTTTAAATGTACGTAAGCATCAATTGCTTTTTTGTTAATAATACGTTAGCGTAAGCTTTTAATGGCTTATAAATATTCATAAATTTTTTTCCATCAACTACAATTTTTTCCCTTAACTACCTCAACTCGACAAGCTAAAAGTCAGCGAGCAAGCGCCTAAAAAAAATAGTTTACAATGGAAAATCTATAAAAAGTTAAGGTTTTAATAATGTTTTATTGTTATAAAAGCATTAGGTCATATTACATTATAATGAAAACTTATGCAATCTAATAAAAGTAAAGGGTATTGTTAAGCTTTAACTCTCAGTTTCTGTGCCGGTTTGTTTTGTTTTTGTCGCTGAACATGATTAATAAGAGTTGAATCGATGAGCTCATTCAACCCCTCGACCATCATGCATATATTACTTGAATATGCTGTGTGTGGGTGTGAAAATAATAAAATATACAATATATACCATATTATTATCAGACAATATTTAACATGCGACGAACAACAACAAAGAGAAAGTGACCGTCAGACAGAGTGTAAAATAAGTAAAATAGCCTCTAACACGGAAGAGAACACTAAAACATATTCCAACACTCGTCAATATTTCAATAATTGCATTACAAAGTCGCGTACTAGATAATTAAAAACAATTTTGTACACGTTTTTGATCATTTGCATTCTGAGCAAAAACAACAAATAGGAATTTGTAGGCTCCCGCTTGTACAAATCGTTGAAATGCAAAAGCAACAACAACACTTTTGTAAGTGTTTTTTTATTCCGCCACAAATTGCCCGGCCGTGCCGGCTGGGCTTAACCAATGCACTTGGGGGATTGGCTGGCGGGTGGGGCGGGGCTTTGTCAATGCGACAACGATTAGACAGAATAATGATAATTAACTTGTCAGTAGTGTGTTGTTCATTTGGCACAAGGCAAATTTGTGCTCGAAAACACAATGGAAAGCAATAATAGAATAAACAATTTTTTAAATATAACATTAACTTAGGGTATACAAACAAGTATGAGGTATATACAAATAGTTACTAATTTATTGCTTACTGTTTTACTTGAAATTTTACTAATTTTTATTTGCTAAAATTATCATAAACTGGAGAACGGACTTTGCAACAAAAATGTTTCTAACATGGCATTGAAACAACTTTTTCCTTTTGCAGTTTTATGTAGTTTTTTTTTTTATAAAAATGAATTATTATTCCTTTCACTTTCAATTTATTTTATGAAATAAGAAATCAATTACATTTAAAAGAACTGTTGCTAAAAATGTAACTTTATTTATTGATTGTTCTCAATGAAATATTCTATAATATTCTATAATGTTCTATAACTTTTCCTTTTTTGTGTTTTATCCATTTTCACCTAAGTAAAAAGCAATTCTCAACTTTTCAGTTCGTATTTTACACTGTTTTGATTACATAATCACTTTTAGTTGAAACTAAAAAAGGCATCATTATTCTGCTGCATCTCACATGGGAAAGGGATATATTCATTGGGCATATAAAAATAACAGAGTCTCAATTTATCTACCTCTCCCAAAGATAAAATCAAAATATCTTAACCAGCAAATGTGAAAGAGAATAAGTCAAAGCGATTGTTTCCATGTCTGACCCTTATTTTGATTTAAAATATATAAAAATATTTATACGGATTCCAAGTCCAGCTGTCATTAGAGCATGCAGTTTGTGGCAAATTTTGTTAATTATAGTGCAATCGCAATCTAAACCCTGGCCACATAATGCTGGCGCCTCCGTGGCCAACGCAATGGCGTGTTCCGAGTCGCCACCCGCAGTGCCAAGAGTCACGCTATAAATACGCAAACCAAGAAGGAGGCAAATATATGTGCCTCCAGCTTAACTATGGCATGGCATTGAAAGCGATTATATATATGTAAATAATATATATATAAATATATATACATATATATCGCAAACAGCTGACAAACAGTTTCTAGCCCGGTTTCTGGCTAAGCAATTTAATTATTGATTGTTGTTGCGCTCTGCCTCGCAACGTGGCAGACAAATTGACGACTGACACCAGTTGCGTCAGTCGCTCAGCTAGCTTCTTCTTTTTTGCATGCCCTAACGGTGGGTATTATAAATATGAAACGAGATATGTAACTCATAGAAGGAGGCCCTTTAAAGTATAGATACTATTGATCAGTATCAGCAGGCGAGTCTCTTTTTTAAGAAATCTTAGCATAGTTTAGTTTTTCTGCTTAAATATGTTGAAGTCGTCCGGATCGGTCTACCATATCATATAGCTGTCATAGGAATCGAAAATTAAGTTCTCGAATTGAATCCATTTATGTAAATCTACAAAAAGAGCCGGTTTTAGTATGAAATACTTTACTGTGAACCAAAATATCTTGACCAAGCCATAAATTAGGAGCTTCACCTAACTTGTCTGCAAACCCGTAGCAAATCTGACTTCTATATCTGGCTAAATCAATGGGATAAGATCACTTCTAAGCTGCATCTCTGCAAGGGTATTTAATCTTCGCCCTGTCGTTTTTCCTTTCTATTTCCCCCCAATAATTTATTTATAAGTTATTTATGGGGAGTTCGCCTTTGGTCTGTGCGCGCTCTCGGAAGTGGCATTAAAATTGAATACTTAATATAAAGCGATAGCCACATAGCAGCAGGTGGAAGTGGTTGACCCTGGCTGCAGCCAGTTGATGCCCTCCAGTTCGATCAGCTGTGTCCAATGGCAGCAAGACGTTTTTTTTTGTTTTGTTTTTTTTTGACATAAACAATTCCACAAAAGTGCTCAGAGATCAAAGAGAATTATTTACTCTTAGCCACGGAATCGAGCTCTTTTCAGCTGTGACAGAAAATGAAAATATTTGCACAAAAAAAAAATCAAAGACTTGGGTCGAAGCATTATATAAGCAAATAGTGGGCACTTTTAGTAAAGCTCTTTGAATTTAAAAATAGATGTTTTTCAATTTACTTTTGGGATTTAAGAAACAAACAAATAAAAAGGCGAAAATTTGGCTTAATAATCGAATTAAAAAGTTTTCAAATCAACTTTAAATATAAAGAAATTTTAAAATATGCTCAGTAGATAATATTCATAAAGTTTTGGTCTGGAATCGAACTGGTCTAAATTTTGACTTGTTAATGAAATAACAGATGTAGCAAACTATTGGACTCAATATTTTTAGCTTAAAGAGCATTATTTTGAAACATATTTTCGACTTTCACACTTTGTTTACACTCTGTGCTCAAATTGGATGAAAAGGCAGCTACAACTGGTTCGGCTGGAAGGAACCCTGACATTGATGGCCATTTGCGCAGTTATTCAAATTGAATTAAGATTTGTGTTTTGAATTTGATTCATTTGCGTAAACGATGAATCGACTGCAAAAGCCAATTAAATGTGTCATCGTTATAGCTGCAAGTGTGTGGGAAATAAATGCAATAGAGCTAAAGTATTCCGAGGGGTGTACGGGACTTTAACTAATGTAATATTATATAATCAGACATGTGTAGTGTTACACGTTTCCGTTGATTGTTTGGTAGTTCTCAAAGTTATCGAATTTAGTGTAGATATTATTTTACAAGTGGAAAATTCCGTACTTAAATAAAAACTGCAAAACTTTCGAAAAATAATTTTCATTGCCCAATTAATTCTTGACCTAATCGAATAAATTAAAACGCAAACACATTGTGGAATTCGCGTTATTTAATCATAAACCCCGCAAAGAAATCGCATTTAATGCTGATGCTCCAGAAATCGAATCAGCCGCACGGCTCCAATAAAGATATGGTGGCTTTAGCCCTTGGACAATGTAATAAATGGACGCGCTATCTGAGCTATGAGCCTGGCCAGAAACCGACCGAAAACCATGACATGGCTAGACATACGACATGAGATCATACGAGCACTATAAACATTGCCTGAATTGCCCGATAAGTCGTTGATAAGCGCCCGCCCAAGTTTATAAGTACCAAGCCGGTCCAGATAACAATGTGGACAGAAATTATTTGCACGCAGCGCAGGGTGCGTCATTTGGTTTATTGCATTTGGGGCGGGGAGGGATCTTGTAAAGTCTATTGTGTGCCTAGGTACTACTGCATAAGGGTTTGGATAACATTTTCTTAGAATTTTGTTTTAAAGATAAATGCTTCTATGTACTTGGGCATCACTATCTGCACTCAGAGAAAAAACCTACGAATTTTGATAGCTTGCACGAGGTTATGTGGAAATCCACTGTAGAAATAAAAGATCATAATTCACTGAATAAAATGTATTTTCCCACTCAAACCAGAACTTAAGTCGGAGATTTTCTCAGGGTTTTGACATAAATAAATAGTTTAATAAATAAAACCCATAAGAGTGGAATACTGTGGAAAGCCCTCAACTTTTGTTATTCCTTCAAACGGTTCCAAGATTTCTTTGGGGGGATTGAAAGTTCAAATATTTAATTTTCACGTAATCCACGACGGTAAATTATAAGGGCTATGAGTAAAAACTAATTAGAACGTGGAAAATGCACCTGCACAATGTCGAAAAATGGTCAGAAATCGAACATTATTTAGACATGTGTTTCTGCCATACTGATTTTGTCAAATCCATCCGCATGGATGAAACAAGTGACAGGTGAAATTCAAATTCAACACTAAACAACACTAAAATAGTGCTAAAATACACCCACATTTCAACAGGGCCAATTTGAATGCCCTTTGATTTTCACTTACCAGAAAAGTATTCTTAGCGAATTGGCCACCAGCAGGGCCAGGCAAACGTATAGAGAGAAACCCTCGGCGTCCTGCGTTTTCTTGATTTCAACATACTGCGGCACGTAGGGTATAACGCCGCCTATGACCATAGCGGAGGCGGCCGCCCAGCCGACCACGTGACCCACTGTCAGACCCAGTTCATCGCTGATGATCCAATCCATGTTGTTTTTTTTTTGTTTTTTATCGAATTATGTTATCGAGCCTAATAAAATGTAGTTAATTTGACGGATATGTTTGCTTAATTTGTTTTTGTTGCTGTTCGCCCTCTCTCCTTATGCAAAAATGTTGACTAGTTGAGACGCCAGCGCGCTGGAAGTTGTTTCTGTTTCTGTTCTTTTTGTTGTTATCTTTTGCATTCTTATGCGGCGGCGGCAGCGACGTCAGCGTAGGCGTTCTTTAATTTGCCAAGCAGAGAAGACCTGAGCGAGCGAGAGAGAGAGAGAGGCTGTCTGTCAGCTGCTGAGATGCTGCGTCGTCGTCGTTGGCACTCAGGTAAGGGAGTGTGTGTGTGTGTGTGTAAATGCGTTTGCAAATGCTCAAAGCGGAAGTCAGCGGTTGTGGCTAGTTGTTGTTGTTGTTGATTACCGTTGTTATTGTTGTTGTTGTAGCTACTATTGTTGTTTTTATAATTCACTTTTGAATTCCTCTTTTTGTGTTGTTTTCTTGCTACACTGGCACACACGTACACACACACGCACACATAGAAAGACACAGCTGCTTTTGCAAAATTTCTTCTCTTTCTCCTTTTCGTCTTTTTTTTTTGTTATTGTCGCGCCGTTTTGTATTGAATTTTCCACACTTTTTTGCCACGCCGCGCGCGCTCCTCTCTTACGATCTGTCCGCAATTTTCCTGTGCACACTTTTCAAGCAATATCCTATACTATAGCTACATATGAAGAGAAAGAAGAAGCACTTCGTTTCCATTTCACACGATTTGTTAGTCGATTAATTCGTTTGACTGACTGCTCTCTAAGTTTTGCTGCCAGTAATTTCGTTTCGTCTCTTTGATTACATTTTCATTTCGCGTCCGGAAAAACAAATCTGTTGCCTTAATTAGCTGTTGTTGCGTTGCTTTGCCTCCTCATTGCTGTCGATTTGATATACTTCGATTCTTGCGCATCTTTTTTCGCGTGCGTACCGCACTCAACGTTCGTAGATTTCTTTAATCTTTATTATTTATTTATTTCAATTTCACGCGCGACGTACGTCTCAGTCGCTCGACGCCAGAACAACAACAATGGTAATAACATGAAATTGTAAACCCAAATGTTATGCTCAAAATGGCGCTGTTAAAGTAGCAGACTGTTGCAACAGTGTGCCCAGCGTTAAGCGTGTTTACATAAAAATACCAAAAAGTGCAATGATATTTTCCGACGTTGGTTCTTCTCATAGCAGTAAAGAAATTGTTATTTGAGGATGGGTGTTTTTTTTAAAGTTATATTTTCCGATAATTATTATACTGTCAAACATAGTCAGATGTGGAAAGCCTGTTGTCATTTGTGAAAGGCTTAGATTGCCAGCAATGCTTTCAATTTCTGCAATTATATCATTTCGATACACCCAAGTATTCCAACTTAACGGTATTTTCCCGTTGGTTCGTCCAATTTCAACAATTTATTTTTACAATTGAACAGTTATTGGAAGTTTATTTTAGAAAAATCTGTACAAATTGTCATTGATTTTATTTTATGCAACGATTATCACAGTAAAAACTAAAGATTTTTGTATGAAATAAAATTAAACTATGCAAAAAACATTCGACTTTAACACTAAAATTTAATCTAAGCGAACGAAATGATTAATTTTTCTTCTTCTTCTTTTCGGGTTGCGTCAAGCCCAGGGATTCCTGATACTGGCGCACAACCTGTTCCTGAACTTCGGGCAGGCAAGGCGAATAGCGTGAATACTCCATGGTGAATTCACCCTTGCCCTGCGTGCTGGAGCTGCAGAAGAAACGAAGTATTTATCAGTGAGGACTATTATGGATTATCCCAGTAGCTTACCGCAGCTCGCTGGCGTAGCCAAACATGTCGTTGAGGGGCACCTCAGCGTATACGGTGAACCAGCCCTCAGTGCCTTCTGTGCCTGTGATGATGCCGTGACGCTTGCTCAGATGACCCATGACAGCGCCCTGGAACTCTTCGGGCGCAGTGACCTCCACTAGCATAATGGGCTCCAGTATTTGCCAGGAGCCGTTCTGGAAGACCTCTTTGATCGCGCCATGGGCAGCTAGCATAAATGCCAACTCACTGGAGTCCACAATGTGATGGCCACCATCCTGCAGACGGAAACGCACGCCGGACAATTTATGGCCAGAGAGCATGCCGCGCTCGCACATCTCACGAAAGCCCTTCTCAACGCCGGGCACAAACTGCTTGGGCACATTGGTGCCCACCGTTTCGTCCACGAATTCGAGGACCGTATTTTGATTGGGGGGCAGGGGCTCCATGAGTCCAATAATACGCGCATACTGACCCGAGCCTCCGGATTGCTTCTTGTGCAGGTAATCAAATTCGCAGGGTCCGACAAGTGTCTCACGGAATGCCACTTTGGGCTTGCCCAGCGTCACAGGGCAGCCATATTCACGCTCCATGCGCTGCGCATAGATCTCCAGATGCAGTTCACCCATGCCTGAGACAAGCGTTTCCTTAACATCATTATCAAAGAAGAAATGGAACGTGGGATCCTCCTTGGTGAAACGGGCAATGGCCTTGGAGAAATTATCCCGGTCCTTGGTGTTGTTTGGCTTTATGGCCATGGACACAACCGGTTCCGGCACAAATATTGACTCCATAGCCATATGATTCTTGGGATTGGTGGTAAAAGTGTCACCCGAAGCGCAGTCGACGCCAAAGAGTGCAAAAATGTCGCCGGCATAGACCTCGCTGACGTCCTCCATTTGATTGGAGTGCAGCCGGACGAGGCGGGCAATGCGCACCTTCTTGTTGGTGCGCGCATTGAAAATGTTGTCGCCCTTCCGGAGCACACCCTGGTAGCAGCGCAAATAGGTCAGCTGACCGAAACGACCCGCCTCCAGTTTGAATGCCAAGCCCATGAATGGGTCTTTGCCATCACGCGCCGGATTGAGCACAACTTGCTGTTTCTCCTTGCCCTCATGCTCGATAAAAGCGAGATTTTCGACTTCTCCTGGGTTGGGCAGATAGTCAATAATCGCATCTAGAAGCGGCTGCACGCCCTTGTTCTTAAGAGCCGTTCCCACCAGCACGGGCGTAAAGCTGCGTTTAATACATGTGCGTCGCAGCGCCGCTTTAATGTCCGCCTCCGTGAAAGGCTTCTCCTCAAGAAACAGCTCGCCAAGGGTTTCGTCTGCATTGGACAAATGCTCGATGAGCTCCTGCCGACGCTCCTGACTCTCAGTACGCATATCCTGCGGTATCTCGTCTAGACGCAGATCCATGCCGTGCTCGCCCTCAAAGTAGATGGCACGCTCCTGCACCAGATCCACAATACCTTTGCAGTTGCTCTCTACACCAATGGGCAGCTGTATGAAGGCCGCATTGTGATTTAACTTGGAGCGCATCTGTGACAGCACCCGATAAGGATTCGAGCCCAAGCGATCTAGTTTGTTGATGAACGCCAGACAGGGAACATTGTAACGCTTCATTTGCCGATTGACCGTTAGCGTCTGACTCTGAACACCACCCACGGCGCATAGCACCAGCACGGCGCCGTCCAGGACGCGCAGAGCACGCTCCACCTCGACCGTAAAGTCCACGTGACCGGGCGTATCGATGATGTTGATGTTGGTGTCCTTCCACAGCGTGTAGGTGGCCGCCGATTGTATGGTTATGCCACGCTGTCGCTCCAGCTCCATGCTATCCATCGTTGCGCCCACATTGTCCTTGCCGCGCACCTCATGCATCTCAGCAATGCGTCCTGTGTAGAACAGAATACGTTCCGTCAGCGTCGTCTTGCCGCTGTCTATGTGCGCCGAGATGCCAATGTTTCGAATGCGTTCGATGGGCTTGTGCTCCGCGTACTTCGCATGGGAGCTGTAGCCGCATTGCAGCTAAAAAGTGCAACACAAATTCAAATTACATAATGTGCCGATTGGATAAATTGGAAAACTGGTTATATATCAGTTCAATACTCACCTGACGCACAGTTTTCAACGCGCTGAGGCGCAGCGGCAGGTTACTGTTCAGCACACGTGTTATCAGCGTCATTTTGGCTGCTTTTTAATTAATAATAAAGTGAATTTTACTAAAAACACGCGCTCGGTGCCGCAACGACGAACAGCTGGTCGCGTAAAGAGTGCTGCAAAAGAGAGCTGGGAACAGTATTGGTAAGTGATCACATATCGATATCTAAGCAATCCATTATGACAGTCGGCGCGCATTTGAAATGCCCATTGAAAATTGTTTATTTGGGTGTTGGAAAATATCAATCACTGCAGTGTTAATATCCATATAATCTGATTATTTAACAATCGATTTTCAAAGATACGCGCGCAAATGAGTTGGATAAAAAACACTTTTTTGATGTTTACAATAATTTCGAATCTTTGATTACGTCGCAATATTATAATTTTTTACAATAATTTCGAATCTTTGATAACGTCGCAATATTTTTATTTGTATTCGAGTCTCTAGTAGTCGATTAGTGCAATTGAGAGCTGTGTGCGCCCAATTGAAATGTCCATCAAGACACATTTAAAACATTTATTCATAATAAATTCAGAAGCAGGTCGATTGAAGGGTTTCTGTTGTTTTTTGTATTGATATGTTAACATTGCAATAATTAAATTAAATGTTTGTGTATATGTGTATATGTGTGTTTGTTTGTTGCAGTTTTGTGCCATGAAAATGCACAAGAAATTCAATAGAGGGACGGTTACGCTAACGGTATACATATAATACCATAAATATAGACATATAATTGTTTTATAAATACAATAAATATTTTGATGGCGCTTACAGCCAAACTAAATCATCGATTCAAACGGATGTTTCCGTTGATGTAAGATATCCACGCCACAATTGCTTCGTCGTATCAAGTTTTGGGTTCTGAAAATATGAAATTCGGGTATTAATATTTGCCACAATAATCGACTTAAGCTCTAGGTCTGCCAGTATACATACATTACAAGACAAGATTGTTTACGAGCATTCTATGAAGTAGTTAGACATCAACACGATGCAAATGAGTTTTTCGATCGTGAATTGATGTTTGATTGATTGACTGATTGATAGATGCTTGATGGGAGAGCAGGCAGATACCAAGATTTAATTGGTGCTTTATGTATGTATGTACAATGTGCCACACTGAGAACTAAGCACAAAATACACTGAAACAAAACAGACTAGAACTAGTTTTTTTGGGGCGCACAAAATGAAACATACAGATATATAATTTTCACTTTTATTCAATATTTATACGTATATTTAACGTTTAGATGTGTGTGTGTGTGTGTGTGTGTGTGTATGTTTGAGTTTCAATCATAACTTAGTATACTGCATAAATTATAATACATTTGCTTACAGTTGTTTTTGGTTTATTTTAAGTATATTATTATGTATGTTCTGGCTAAATTTTTCTAAGACGGCCTTTCACTGATTCCTTCCCCCATACCCCGCTCCCTACAATAAGATCACAGCTTATCCAACCCATATTAACTAAAATCGAGCCTGCCAAATTGTAAGCAAACACATAAGAGAATCATTTTTTGTAGATAGTTATAGCTTGTTGATCTTGGGAGATTTCATGTTGAATTGACACTGTTTCGTGTGTTGTTGTAAAATTCCGTTAAAAAAGTGTATATATATAGTTTCTTTGGAATGCATATACCACTTTACGGCTTTTGAGCCATAAAATATTTTAAATTAATACTTCTAAAACTTGTACCTGAGCCCAAAATCTACGACAAACGCATGCTGTGAAATTTCTGCATATTTATCTTTTTTTTTTTCTTTTTACCGTCAACTATTTAGTTAGATGGTAAATGCTACGGGGACACTTAAAAATGTTTACCAAACTTTGTCATAAAAACCGCTACGAATAATTTGTATATATATATAATTAGTTATGATACTGGTATGTATATATTCGACATTCACACTTTGGATAGGCTTATGTACGTTAAGCTTGTAGTCCCATTCTGATACGATCTAATAAACGTTGTGCATTTGTTCTACGCATTTTGTGTTCTCTCTAACACCCTTTAGTTTAGGTAGTTTGGTATTTTGGTATTTTGGTATTACTGTGGTGCCCATGGAGCACCGCTTAGACGGGCGTTACGTTGGCCGGGGCTTGTGCGGCGGCAATGGCGCCACATTCTAGCTTGGCAGCCGCCTCCTTGCAGTTGCTCGGCTGCTGTTGATTCGCTGGGAGCAGTTGTGCTGGCGTCTTGTTTGGGGTTTCGTTATATTCATCGGCCTCGTGCATGGGCGATAGGCGTGGCGAAAGGGCGGCGTTTGTCGAGGTACTGAGGAGCATGGTCGAATGCAAATGAATGATATTTATATATATATATATATATGTGTCTCTTAAATGTTAAGTAAATAGTTATTTAGCTTGGCTTAAGAACTTAGGCAAATCTTTGGGAGCGTGTGTCGAATGATTCTCGCCTAGCCGCATAGAGTGAATACTCATTCTGGACTCAACTACGGGTACACTTACTGATTGCCATTGATTTGACGAACTTTAACGGTCACGGGTATAATCAGCTGCTCGGAGGTGCCGTCCTTGTTGATCTGTTTCCAGACAGTCGCACGATTCACTTCCACTGGGGGCACAGGTCCCGCCGCAGTGCTGCCCATTTTGTTGCCAGATAACGGTATGTGTATGGTTGTGGCACCCGCTGTTGCGTTCGCATTATTGGCATTGTAGGCAACACTTCCTGTGCCGGGCGGCTGTTGATGCTGATGATGATTGTCCTTCAATATAAGACATGCATTGGCAGAGTATGTTTTTTGTTTTCGATACGAAAGAGCTCATAGAGTATGTGGGAGAGGGAGAGAGAGAGAGAGAGAGAAACAGAGTGAGAGAGTGTGGGTGGAGGTGAGGTAAAAGAAAGAGAGGAGCTTGTGTAGGTGAGAGTATAAAATTCAGCTGCGTTATTTAAGTGAGCGAGTGCTGCCGATCTAAGAGCCAATTCGGTGTAGTGTTGTGTAGTGCTATAAATTTAGATGTAATTCCTTTCTTTCCATTTTTTTGTTTGCCAAATATTTGTTTTATTTTTGTTGTTTGTTTTTGGTATTGGCCTTTAAATTTACAACAATTTCTCCTAAAAATTTATTTTTGTTTGCCAATTTTGGTAGGTTTGTAATTTTTGTTATTGTTAGTTACTTGTACTATGATCTTGTTGTTGACTATAAAATTATTTAACATTTACATTTAATACATTTACACCGTGTAAACGTGTTTGCGCAGACTACTTAAGCTAGCATCATTAACATATACAAAGATATATATATATAGATATAATAAAGATATAAATACAATATAGTTATAGTAGTATAGTATAGTTTTATAATTGAATAATATATATGCACTAGGAAATAATAGAATTTCAGTTAGCATATAAAAATAGGGCCATGAGCTTAGGTACAGTTAGGCTTGGACTTCATAGCAATATCATAATAATTGAGCATTAAGATTGAAATGGAGAAACAGAACAGCATATTAAATAAAAGTACATAAAAGTTGTATAAGCAAAATAGATATTTAAAAATATGTATAACAAAATGCAAAAATTGCATGCTACAATATAACAAATTAAGGAAAAACATTTACAAAATACTGTTAAAAAACACAATATAACATTTGCACTCGTATAAAAACCCATGTATGGTATATATACATAGTAAGGTAATGCATTTTTATAGGACAGAATGCAAAAATCTCTAAGAATAATTTCCATTAGAAGATACCAACAAATTAGAGACTAATCAAATTGTTCTGTGGTGGATTGTGCAGCACTGCAAACGCAAACGAAATGGGCAGCACTTTTTCAATATAGTGTTTCGTTACGTGCTGCTCGAGTGTGACCAGATAATCGGCATGTTGTCGTTTTCAATAGTGATTGGTGTGTGTTGTGTGTTGTTTGCTGTGTGGTGTTTCCTATTTTTTTTTTTAGTTCTTTTGAGTGTTTGTGCCAAAATCGGTGCGGTGTTTAGTTTTTGAGCAAACTACTTTGTGCCTCGAACTCCTTCTCATTTGCATTTGAGGTATTGCACTTGATCAGAGCGACGGCATTGGTGCCGCCGTCCAAGCCACCATCGAGGCTGCCCTTTGGTTCGCGCTTGCCGCGACCACCGAAACAGGGTAAATATTTCTGACAAAAGCCCACCTCAGCGTCCAGTTGATGCAGATCATCCGCGGCCGCACGTTTCGTCATCTCTGGCATAATATCATCAAGTATTTTCAACTCACGTCGCGTGAACACAAAGTCCAAGGACTTGCGTATGCCAATCATTACCACCAGCATCAGCGGGAAGAGTATCGAGGTCTGCGAGAAGCTCTTAATCAGCCACAAGATAATCAGACAGGCCAACTGTATAATGGTAAACAGATGCACACGCTTGATGGGCACCTAAAAAGATAATGGGATCAATGGAAAGTTTTTAAGATTCCTTCAGCTGATGATTTGTTGACTCTGCTTACCTGACGCAGGAACATGTAGTCCGGCTGATATTTGGCTGGCATGAACATGATTAGAATGCGATCGAAGAACTGCAGACCCTTGAGCGAGGCCACGCCCATGTACAAGAAGACGCCAAAGAGCACCGGCATTGGTATGTGTCCGAGCAGCGGTGTCAACAGCACCGAACCGCCAATGGTCAGGAAGATCATGATGTGGGTCACGCGCTGCTCGCGCACTCCCAAGAACTGCGGCTTCTCGCCAGGGGCACTGCACTCCGATTCCAGTTTCAGCGAATTCACATGATTGATGCTCAGCACAGTGGCCGCCACGAACCTGTCAATCGAAAAAACACGCCGTGAGATTCTATAGATAAAGGGAGCTACCAGTACTTACCAGGGCAAACCCATTACACTGCAGATTGCAATCAGGCCGGAGAGCACAAACAGATCCAAGTGATAGCCGCAGCCCTTCTTCAGCTTGTTCTCCTTGCGATTGACAATCACGGCCGTTATTTGTTGATCCATAAAGATGAGTATAGTGCCGAGCAGTGCTGGGAATACCGCAATGATCGGCGACCACCAAGGATTCTTCTCGGTAAACGGCGGTATAAGCCAGCCACGTGTACTCAACGTGGGCTTCAGCTCATGGGGCACCTCCAGTTTCTGTGTGGGCACGCCGAGCGAGTAGTCGAAGAAGGTCATGGCAAAGATGGCAATCAGAACGGAGAAATCGCTAATGTATTGTCGCACAATCGAAGGGAAGAACAGGGCATTCTTGAATTCCTTGAGAATGGTGGAGAAGATAAATGTACCCGAGCACAAAACCACGGACATAAGGAAGACGTTCTCGGTGGGTGGCCGGCCGCAATCGGTGCCACTCAGTGTGCCATTGTAAGACTACAAAAGAAAGATAGGAGAGAAGTTATATTAGGAATATTGATGGGATTTCCGAGACTTTTACCTCACAGGAGTCCCATTTGTACTTGGCAAAGTCCAGGACGCTGGCATTACTGTACAGTGGCGGAGTACAGATGCAATCGTAAATGCCCTGATTGACCGGGAAGGTCTTCCCAATGACAAACACATTCTCGATGGCCTTGTAGACAAAGATAACCGCGATAAGGGTGGCAAAGTTCTCCTCGGTGAAGCGTGTTATATAGCAGACGAGCGCACTGGCATCGATCGCGGTCAGCACGACACAAATGACGGCGACCCACATGCCGATCCAGAACCGGAATGTCATATAGTCCCAACCCTGAGCCATCGAGAACTCATAGACAATTGACTCGAAGACCAGCACTGGACCGGTGGAACCCAAAATTGTTAACGGCTGACCGGAAAAGAAGCCATAACCCATGCCGCAAACAAATCCAGACACAAGCGACTCCATTGCCGCCATATTCTTGCCTGTGGCCTCCGACAGCAGGCCGCCGAACGTAATGATGGGGGACAAGCAGGCGAAATACAGGAAAATCCATGAGGCCACGCACTGCATGGAGAGCGCATCACGGTAATCGCTCCAGTACCAAGGCGCCTTGCGCTTAATATCATTGATCAGACCGCCAAATAGGCGACCCGTGCGCGAGAGTCCCGACTCTTCGCGCAAACGTTGCTCCTCCTCCTCCTCGTCGATCTCCTCCTTGGGCAGCTCGGGCGGTCGCTTGCGCACCTCCTGCGATGGTATAGCCGCCGGCGGCTCAATCCGTATGGTTGGATCCCATTCCCCTGGTGGTAATACTGTAACCGCATCCAGAAACTCATCCACGCCGGCGAGCAAATGATCCCGCTTGCGTGCCCTATAAGCAACTTCATGGAAGATCTCGTCCGACATCAGCGTGGCCATGGCACGTCCAATCTCATGGAAATTGCTCTGGCTGCCCGGCGGACCCAGCAGTATGAAAATGAATCTACGGAATAGTCGTGCGTTAGGAAGAACCTTGGGCTTAGTGTGTAATATTTATGGGGGTGGGGTTGGGAATAAGAACTCGATTTCTTCCGAGACTAGTTCAAACTATTCTAAACGAATCTCTAAAGAAAAAGACCCTAAAGCATCTTGAATATTAGTTTTCGGGTTCGGTACTTGGTCGACCTTCATATATTCCTTATTCCCATTTCTTCTTAGGAATTATCGTATGATTCTTAGTTCTAGTCTCTATGTAACTCACCTGGTTGGCACTGGCACCTCGGTCAGATCGCCCATGACTGCCGCCTGGCTGAGACGTATGAAACAGGAGAGTGTGCGCTCTAGGAAGTCCACCTCGCCCACTAGAATGTTGCTTGCCTCCGCTCCCGGTGGTATTTTCCGCATAAAATGCGTATTACCCTTGTGTTGTTGCTCGGCCAGCTCCGTGCCGCTGGTCTGTCTGGCCATCGAATGGCTGCTGGGACTCTTGACCATGTCCTCTGTTATCATGGGCAGTTTTTGTGGTGGCCGCAAGTTTTTGGAATTTGATTTTTTCTCTACATTAGTCAAATTCGGTAGTATGTGGTTCGGTGTGGGTTCGGTATTTGGTATTTGGTATTGGTTGGCAGGCGGTGCGGGTTGTTGGTGTAGTTGTGTGATGTTTATTGGATATAGGCATTACAACAACGTCAACGTCAATGTCAACGACAACAACAACATAAAATCATAAATATTTTATAGAAAGAAAAAAAATACAAAAAATAAGTGCATAAAGCTTAGTTAATAATTCTCATTTCAGGACAAAGAACAGAAATGATAGATCATGCTTGAAAAATACATCCTATTGAAGACTGTGAGTGATAGGCGTGCAGATATGTGTGTGTGTGTGTGTATTAGAATGTTGATGGATTAACGGTTGTGTATTTATACAGCAAAGTTGTTCACATACTTAGAGTTATCGGAAATCTGTAGGTTCCAATGTTTCGACAACCAACGCGCATGCAAATTTTCTTTCTTTTAATTTTCGGCTTTTATTAAACTATTTTTATTAGACTACCAAACAAAGAAACTAGATTTGGGTTTGAGTTTCGGCTACATGTTTGTAAGAAAAAAACAAAGAAGAAGACACGCAAACGAACAGTAACGGTAACGGTAACGGTAACTGTGACGATAACGATAACGATAACGATAACGATAACTTTTGATTCTTGATAGTTGGGAAGTTGTGGAGTTTGGTTCATTACCAAGCGTTCTGTTGCTGGGCTTGCCGGGCACCGTTAGAAAACGCCCCATTCCCATTCCCAATCCCATTCCCAGTGCATTGGTACTGCCATTGGTATTGCCAGGGGGTCCGGGCTCGCTGGCGGTCAGCGATAGCGGCGTGGTAGCCATTAAAGCGTTGCCAGACTGTTCTTCCACTGTAAATTTGTGTTGTTTTTGTTGATTAAAGTGGTTAAAAAAAAACTTAAAACAAAACCAAACGAATTGAAAACTAAAAGGATATCTAAGAATCTCGCGTTAAGTCGATTGCATCACGTTTAAATACTTTTTAATCTGGAACCCCGTTTAGTTTGTGTGTGTGAGTTGACAGCACAAAAAGGAGCTTACTATAGCATCTTGGAAAGTTCAGAGAGGGGTTATAGCAGATAAGAGATAAGAGTAGAGTAGAGTATCAAATAGTTTGTAAGAGTTGAGAAAAGATCAGAGTGAGTTTCAACAAAATCGTGAAAAAAGCTAGAAGTAATACTTGACAGAGAGAGAGAGAGAGAGATAGTTTAACTAGTTACATATCTTTGTTAAATAGAGCGTGCTTTGGTAGGTACACTTTACGCAAAGAAGTAAAACCATATAAAGAGTTTTGAATAGATCTTGTAAGGCGATTACTTGGCAATTGGCTCGTCGTTGGCTGCTGCAACTGTTGTCCTTGTTGGTTAGACGGGACATGCGAGGGCGATGCGCCCGCATGGAACCAGGTGGTAACGCCAATAGCGCCCATGTCGGCTATTGTTCAACGTACGTATGAGTAATGGGAGCAAGAGCGAGAGCGGTCGATGGTTAGAAGTTGTGTTAGCAAACACTTACATAGGACGTTGCACAACACTTCTTTGTGACTTACTTAACTAGTGTTGCGAGTGATCGATTGATGGATACGAGATGAGTTAGCTGATGTATGTATGTATGAGAGATATCGTATTCGGAGTGCATAAGCTGGCTTAGATACGATCATACTGAGAAGTAGAGTTTGTATTCAGGGGCAGAGTTACGAGTCTGCAATTTATATGGTAGATGGGTGCGTGCTCTCTATACAGCTGGTGTGGAACTGGAGAGTTTTGTGGTGCATTTGGAAGCAACTGAGTTGGAGTTGGAGTGTGTCTATACCTGTGGGAACAGCGAGATAACAACCACGCTGATCCTTACTGGACACAAAGACAGACGTCCCGGGTGTACGGCATCCATCCGAACCGAAAACAGGCGATGTGGCATGCAATGATTGCCCAGTTGCGTCTAAGCAACCCGATTTCAGTTTCATTTTTAGTTTTATTCGTTTTATTAAGTGGGCAATATTGAAGTTAATGTAGGTTTAGTAGGACAAACTCGACTCATGATGATTATGATGCGCAACAAACGAACGAGATGAGCTTAGAGTAACCTGAGAAATGGAGGGTCCGCGAAGGGATACTCACTTTTTGATGACGACTGATTGCGCATGTCCGCCAGGGAACGTATGATGGGCAATCGCGACTTCTTTGCGTACTCGTGCTGATGGCGATGTCGGCGCAGTAGCGCATCCTTTACCTTGTCCTTGACGCCGGCGGGCAGCTTGCCGCCGCTGACCAAATGATCGCAGACGAGATCGGCCACGAGCTCCAGATTATTGGCCTCCATGTCCAGCATGACGCTGCCATTGAGGAGCAGGCCACGCAGCTCGAACAGCGAGTGCAGCGAGAGCGTCGCCACATGGGGCTTGGACCAGCGATTGCCGCCCTCCTCCACATCCTCCTCGAACTTAATCCAGCGTGCCGTCTCCTTCCACTCAATCTCATCGCCCTCCTTCACCAGGATGCCCATCTCCGAGAACAGAGGATGCGACACATGCGAGCCATCCACATCCACATCCTCGCCCAATATAAACTGTACACGTTGTGCGGGCGGCGTCACTAAGAATGGGTCGAATAGGAAAACACGATTAGTTTGGCTAACATTTATAGCACTCAAGCAGTCGGCCAAAAGTCTGAGCTTAACCCGCTTAATTGGCCGCACAGCCGCGCGGGAATTGCTTTCGACCAGATGGCCATTTGGCTGTGGGTTAGTTGGTTGGTTGCGTGTTTTTGAAATGAATGTGAGGCGAAGGCTACGCCTGTCGTGATGCTCTATGATGTTGATTATAAATGAGATTGGACTTCGTGTTTACCAAATTAAACTACGATAGATCTGTAATGGATACCAGAAAGAAACAGCCAGTCGGGACTGATAAACGCTTCTACATCTTCCACAGAGTAGCATTTGCCTATCCATCTCTTTTGAAACTAAGTACATATTTACCTTGTCACTGGCATCTATTTATACTCAATGTTTTCTAAGTAAATATTTTGCTGATCCTAGTCACTCGAAGAGTTTACTTCGATAAGACATTTTCTCCTGCTAAGCTAACAACCACCTCAATTCTTTTATCTTTCTCTTGTTACCAACAAGCGGTCAAATTAAAAATAAGGCTGTTATCTTTTTCTTCACATACCTTTTCAACACTAGACAAAGAGATAAAGTGCTGGCAATCCTGCGTTGTAAGTGAGGACTATTGAAGTCTATCGATAACAATGCCTCAATGCCTCAGGTCTGGTAAAAGTTGCTATAAAGCTTAAATAGTTTGTATGTGACCATTAAATTTGACTTCTCGTCAATTTTAAATGGCTGTCAAACTGAACTGCTCGTTAAATTTAACTGTCTGTGAGCCAAGATAATTTGGGTTTAAAAATGAGCAATTGTTTAAAATGACTTGGGGCCAAGCATTTAAATTGTCTGCTCGCAGCTCAGACCACACATCGATTTCGAATAGGAGGCGCACAAGGACCTCCAGGAGCGTTAACGAGTTAATGGATAAACTGTTGAAGGTACTTACACACTCATAAACGTGCCTGCATCGATAAGAAAGTGTTGCCATAAACTCATTAGCATGCCATAAAATTCAAAAGGAATTCCGAAACACACGAATGGAAGTTTATGGGCAAATTTACCATAAATGCAGATTTGTACTATACCTAATTGAAAAAATGAACGAGAAGAAAGGATGACTGTGCTTTTTTTGATTGAAAATTGAATAAATCCCTGCTGCTACATTTTCTTTCAGTTGATAATACAGATCAGCTATAAATTTAAAATCTGTTCTCCATATAATTTACACCTAACTCCTGCTCCTTCTTGATTTCAATCAACCATATCCATTCACTGTTCCTGCACAAGCAGCTGTGATTTCTCAGATGACTTCAATTTGCGCATCCTGCTCGCAGGATCTGCACGCCCTGTTATTTAGCTATAATTTGGACTCTGTCACGTTGATTGGCCGCACATGTCAGCATGTGGGCGACACCTAACTCCCGCTCGCTGGCGGCGACCTTCGGCCTGTCCGAGGCGCGCAATTAGATTTGTCAATACACTCGGGGAATATGTCAGGGACTGCTGTGGCACCCACCTGGACGCTCCACTTCCTGTTGCTTGTCGCTGCTGCTGTCTCTGCCAGCGCCAGCGGCGCCGCCAACAGCAGCTGCTGCGCCCGCTGCGGCACCTGTGCCGCCGCCGCTGTGGTGATGCTTGCGGCGCCGCTGCGAATGCCGTCGTCCTCCCGGCACGTGCACGCCCACATAAACGGTGTGTGCGCGGTGTCCTGCATGCGTGGATACAAATTGAATGCGTCGCTTAATCGATTACAACAACAAAATAAACATGCATCGTTTCGTACGCACACAATGCCCAGGTAAATCTAACATATTGGCAAAGTCAAACAATTTCTATACTCGCTCGCAGAGTGTGAAGAGTATATGCGGCTTGTGCAATTCTCGTCTTGTTGTCCGGGCTGGATCTTGGCATATGTACTTGAGTATATCTTAGTTAGAAATCGAATCTTTATCTCTATATCTTCTATTTGTGGCCGTGATTGGACTGTGAACGAGTATAACGCAGTCGGTTACACCCGGCTATAAATCTGCCCAATAGGAGCATGGTAGATCGGAAAATGTTATACCTGCAGCTTGTGGCTGGCCTGTGAACGAGTATAACGCAGTCGGTTACACCCGATTGCAAAGTTCTTAATAGCTTTTTTTTAATGCTCGCGTGGCAAACAATCAAAATCAGTTTTAATGATTGATAAGAGCTGAGTACACGTTGAAAATTTATGCCGCTTGCTGCTGCGCTTCAATCAAGTCAAGTCGTGCATTGCGCATACGCCGCATTGACTCATCCCCTGTGTCTACAGCGGGGAAAGCGTTTTTTTTACTGCGCCTAATTGCTGTTTAATACGCGCACTTCCAGCGTCTAAATTTATGTACATTACTTATTTCCAGATCTCAATAATACGTGCCAGTAATTTTCCTAGTCCTATGACAATTTTCGTAACGACTTCGTCTGTCGGTCGACCTATTGTGAGATCATCTGTTTAGCTGTATCTCGGTTATGATCATAATTTAAATTAATTATAAGCAACCATTTTTTGAAGCCTCAACTTATAGATGTACAGACATATGTGTATCAAGGTTTTGTGGGCGTTTTTGCATGCTGCCGTTAATGCATTTAATTTGCAATTTGTTTGCGGATACAGTAGACATTGCTTACAGGAAACGCTGGGCAAACTGATTAGATTAGCTGATATGCCTTATGGGAGGGTATCAAAAGTGGTTTCAACTGGAATATTGTGGAAAGTGTGGGAAGACATGATGAAAGATGGGAATGGAAATGTGTGTAGGATAATGAATAAATCAAATGAAGCAAATTAATGTAAATAAATATTAATAAATATATATATATATCATAAACAGAAACAGTTGCAGGACTGTGAAAGGATATGGTTGGATTGGTTAACAGAGATTTGTGTGTGGGAAAATATTTTAAAATTATAAAAAATTACAAAAGAGACTTGAGAGAAAATCAATTAAAAGGAAAAATTCTTCAAAGTTGTAAATAATAAATTCCCATAATATAGCAGAAACTTTTTAAAATAAAGTTCATTGAAGCGCGTAAATTATTCAAAATTACTTGAGCTCATTTGTTTCGAACACGTTTCAAATGGAATAGTTTACGCTCCGAAGCAGTCAGTTATCTCTAATTGTCTCATTAGTAAGTATTTTAACACTTGGGCAAATAAAAAATTTGCATTTGAAAACAATTATTTAATTGTTTACATAAATTAGAATGATCTGTTAACAGACTACACAGCCATTTCCAACTAGAGCAAATAACTCCTGCTGTTATTAAGGTGCAATAAATTTGATTTTGATTTTACCAGGAAACATTAGGCTTTGTGCTTGGGAATTTGGATATGACTGCTCCAAACATTCATCATATCGTAATTTGACTGCATCGCATTGCACTTTGCGATGTTAGCTTTTGCAATTAACACACCACAAATCTGTTGGCTGTCATGTCGTAACGACGATTGTTCCAAGTCCAAGTCCAATCCACCCACACCCGGCGTGCTCCTGCCGCTTGGCAATTGTCGAGCTTTGTGAATGTTATTTGCCTAAAACTTGCGACTCGATTTCGTAACACGAGTTAGTTCTCAGCCTGGGGCCTGGGCAAAATGCGCGGGCGTGTCTGGCATCGCTGAGCGTGCAAACTTTGCATAAAGAATGAGCCAGCGGCAAAGTCAGGTTGGCTGAATTCCAATGCATTGCGTATACGCGGCATTGTGCACTTGAGTATGCGATTTGTTTACTCACCCTCGAAATCGTTTTCTGTAAATTGTTGAGTAAAGTCCTCGCCGCCGGTGCGCGGATCCTTGGGCGCCTCATCGTCACCACTCGAGGAGTTCATGTTCCAGGGCCTGAAAGAGCCAAAGCAACAACAGACAATTAGTTTTGAACTTGAGAAATATTATTTCGAAAAATTATCGAACTGTTCGCACTTTAACTTAATTGATCTGAAATGTTGTTGGACACAAATACAAACTCGTTAAACAACAACTTGAACTGCATTTGCAATCACTTAATCAAAATTCAGCGCCATAAACCAGGCCGCCGACTTGAAAAATATCTCGAAAAGAATTCATAAAATCTAAAAGAATATAAAAACAAACCTTAGTCGAGTCATTCAATTGAGTCAAAAGCACTTTGTGTTTGCACATTAGATCACTTTGACAGTGACTGTCACTAGCACAGTTACCGTCAATTGTAAACGACAAGATGAGTCGATTTGGAAAGTGCCTTCTCCGAGTTTTGCTTGTGCTGTGTTTACTGTCATTCCAAACTATTGTTTATATTTTTTTTGCTCAATTTCACACGCGATACAATTTATGAGCTATGCATCAAAATTGTTGCGCCTATTAAGCCCTAGTTGCCCCATAGATTTGTTGTTCGTATTTTTTAAAATTGTATGCATTCCATAAATACAGTAGAACGTGTGCATTAGTGCATTCTATACTTTACTTTAGGAGACACCTTTACTACATATAATAAATTCTAGAAGTCGATATAGATTTCTATATCTTCTTTAACTGCCTGTCATGGCAAATGCCTGAGTATTAAGTTGACTTTTCTTATACCTGTTTTATAGTAGCTTTAGAATAGGCTCATATCCTATTCTAGAATAAACTAAAACCCTAAGAACTTTTGTTTTAATTCAAGCCAATTGAAAATATCACATAAACAAAATATGCATTCATAACATTTGAAGCGCTGTTTGAAATGTTTTTTGTTTTTGCAGACATGCTAATTAAATTCCCTAGAATTAAGTTGAAATTTGCTTTTATATAATTTGTATACAAATTTAGCTCCAATATGGAGTTGACACAAGAGCGTTAATTAATAAATCTATATTTAGATCAACAATTTTTAGCACTTCATATGACAATTTTTAATTTTTGTTCACGTTTTCTTCAGGTTTTTCTTAGTTTCAGCTGTTGACAACTAGAAGGGACTAGAAGGGTATTTACAAATCGTATTGATTTGTGATTTTTTTTTTTAATTAATTTGTAGTCTCGTGCTTTACTTTTAAAAGTGTTAGGTAAATATTGCATTTAGCAGTCTTTTAACATATCTTATATGCTTTTGACGTGCTTTACTGAATTTCAAATTTAGTTAAAAATAATGCCAATCAAATGTATTCAAGTTGTTGAGAAAACAAAGTCAGCACCTTTAAAACTATAAATAACGCAATCTCGAGTTATTCAACAAAGCAGAAATTTAATTTGCACTAGTGCAAAGTTCAAGAAGGTATTAAAAATATAATATTTATATTATTATTTCGCATTCAGCAATATTTAAAAATTTATAATGCATACGAAAATACCCTTTATTTGAATATATCTATATAAAATAAATATACGTTTATCAAAACTTTTGAATATAATTTAATTTGCAAAGTTCAAGAACGTATTAAGAAAATAATATTATATTTTTTAAAAAACTCAGCAATATTTTAAAATTTAAATAAGTATTGGAAAATACTCTAAGACCTATTGGGGTTGGGAAAAAAATATAAATAAAATATATAATTAAAATAAAATAAAAATATATATAAACTAAATACGCGATTAACCAAACTCTTGAATGTAATTCAATGTAGACATATTTTAATATAGAAAAGTTGACAATTCTATATACATGAGATTTATATACGTTTGCACAATATTATTAGACCCTTTTTTAAACGCGTGTGTTTTATGCATATAGACTGTATCATCACGAACTTATGTATAGTCTGTAAATGTTTATAATTATAAAGTCTAACATCTAGAGTCAACGACAGCGCTATCAACAATCAAAAAAGCTTATCTATAAATATATATGTATATATATTAATATATGTACATGTGTCTATATATGGTTTACATATAAGCCTGTCCAACTGATAGACAGACCCTCCAAGCTGTCTGCCAGAATAAACTGGGTCGATCTCAGGCGTACAAACTGTTAACATTAAACCACTTTACAGTTTCCCAAGGCAAATCCATATCAATATCAAGTGAGTCACGTAGCGCCGGATTGTAAAAAAAAAAAAAACAGAAAAAAACTGACAGACATGCATATATTAAAGCCTGTGATAAGTATGCTCAGACAAGTGTTTGAATAAACTTTATGGAAAGAGTGTTAAACAAAGGGATAATTACTATATGATGTGAGATTTAATTAAGTGCATATATAGAACAATAAGATAATATTTTGCCTTTGTCCTAGGTTTTTTTTATGATCTTATTTATCGTTTTATATGCTTGTAGAGGGTACTACGATTTAATCATGAATTGGGTACATCATAGTAGGATATATACATATATATTCTTCTTCAACAGTGTCTGTAAACCTTGCAAAGATCCGTCTTTCTGTTGCATTCAGACGGGATATCGGAAAATTCCGCCTACAAGCGTGGAAAAAGCGTGAAAAACGTGTTTACTTGTCATAAATATATGGCATATGGTTTTGGAATATTCCGCCCACAAGCGCGGAATAATCGCGTAAAACTTTTGTAAAAAACTTTCTTGTCATATATATATGGGGCATAAAGCGTAAACAATTTACTCGAGAAACATTTTTGTTGTTTCTTGAAGTATCTATATATATCTACTATACTCAGCGCTAAGAAATATGACTACAAGGGTATTTAGACTTCGGAGTGCCGACAGTTGTCGTTTTTTTTTTTAGTCTGATAGCCAATGGAATACTTTGAGTGGCTTATTAAATACTGATTTTGTTTAATCTCAAGAACTTTTGACTTCAGACGTTACAGTTTATTACAATTATTTATATAGAATATAGTTGGAAATTATCAATATAATTTTTTTTTAATTAGCATAATACATAATATCCTAGAATTCGAACCCGGAAGTCCGTTCAATAACATTGGGTTATTTCTAAAGTGATTTGGGAACTTGTTTCACTCTTTACTTACGTTTCTTCGTCATTATTGTGGGCCATAATTTTTGGCTCCAATCTGGGCAAACACTTGCAACGATCTGGCGAATCGTTGTTCGAATTGCGCGTCTAATTTGTTTACCACTCGCCGATTATCGGTGCAGCCCGAAGCGAACTATGCGTATGTAGGCGAAGATAGGCGCAAAGCGTGAGTTAGCACTGGGGTTCAAAGTGTCTCTGTCTGTTTTGTTTTTCCGATCTGTTCTGTTGGGCTGTTTATCACGCGGTTCTAGCGACTCGCTTCGAGCCCGGGCGATTGCAGACTAACTGCTAACTGGCCGATCTTCAAAGCGAAGCAGCGTCGGCGCTTAACCCGCTGCTAGGCCTGACGCCGCTGCCGCTGTCGGCGCCGCTGCTGCTGCGATTAGCGCCGGCAGCGACACCGACACAGCACAGTGGTCGTTGCATAGTCAGACAACAACGAATTAATGTGTCGAAATTTACAATACAATTTTTTTTAATTTGCCAAATTTGAATTTTCATAACTATTATGGGCTCTTAGTACCTTAAAACCTTTTAATTAGCCAAAATGTGTACAACAAAAATGCATTAAGTTTCTAAATTAAGTAAAACCTTCATTAATTTTTTTAATTAGCTGTCATTTTTCATATACATTTTCATTATTAAAAAAAAAACAATTAAACTTTCGTTGTTTAAAAAAAAAGACCTACTGATCTTTTTTCCACTAAAGAAGAATTTATATTATATTTAAAAAATAAATTCTTAGGCAACTTTATAAGTTACATACTGAAATTTCTTAAATTTTGCTATTTTTTCATTACCTGCCATTTCTTATATAAACTCCGATTCACCATTTAAAAATAAAAATTGAATAATTTCTTATTTTTCTAATATTAAAAGTAAATTTTTATAATATTTTTAAAAACCATTTCTGTTGCACTTGCAATAAACTTAAAGTTTCAACTTAATATATATCATTTTAAATAATTTCCATTTAGTTAATACTACTTTTGTTCACACTACATAATTTTCACCCAATGCTCATGGCACAGTGTGTCACAGTGCGATGGAAAGTGACAACGTGAGCGCGTTGGGGAGAGCAAACAGCATACTTAGAACATGCTTGTACACAAATCCCAGAGGCTTCTTACAAAATATGTTTTTAAACGTTGTTTTACATTGTTGACCTTATCGATGATATTCGCCGTTTGCGTTCTTATCGCAGGAGTCCGTCCACCGTCGACCGTCGGCTCAAGGCCCGCTTATCAGTTGCTTTTCCTTACAAGTTGTTTACCTAAATTGCAATTAGTTTTATTCTGTGTTGTTGTTGTTTTTTACTTTTTTATTACAATATTTGCTAAGGTGTTCTGCTTTTTTATTGTTTTTGTTGTTGTTCTTGTTGTTGTTGCTGTGATTGTATTCAATATCAATGAACAGCGACAGAACTGGTAACAGCTGGCCCATACCAAAATTCGTAGGGGAAACGTTAGGCATATTAACTATTTGCTTCGAGCTCGTGGGTTCATTTGAAAACAATTTTTATGGCTAAATTATTTGATGTGTTCGTTTTTAATTATGGCGCCTAGTAAATATATATTGTGTTTTGTTTCCACATGTTGTGTAAAATAGTTAAATTGCTATAAAAAGAACACTTAAAATAGAAAAGTTTATAATAATAATAATCTATATTTATTTATTTAATTTTTGTTTGTTTGTTTATCGTTTGAAGTCAAAGGCCTTTTGGAATTTTTTACTATTTCCATTCATTGCTTGTTTATTGATGCATATGTATTATTATTATTTTGTTAGCTACTTTGCATAACTAAGTAGATGGATAATTAAAGCTGCTTCGGGTTTGTTAATGTTTTGTTTTGCTTTGTTTTGAGCGATTTGTTTACAACAATAAATAATATTGTCAAGGTGGACCTTTAATATAATTTAAGGGCAGTATTCCAAG